CCACGAGTGTGTGGCGTCCAATAAAAGTATTACTTGAATTACAAGAAATATACCCGCACCAAACTTTGAAATAATTGCTGCACGTGGAGAAAGAATGAATACATGCAAGGCAAAATCTTCATTCTGAGTGCAAGTTGCAGATTTTAAGAGGCCTGACCCACATAAAACTCCTAAGACCTAAGAGAAAGCAAGTAGAAATCACACGAAATGGCATATGGGATGAAGGTGTGTTTGTCTTTGCTTATACTTTTGAAAAAGGTGATTGCATTGAACAAATAATCTAAAAGCACGTCAGAGCTGCTTCTCAACTTCTGCTTCTGACAAAGAAGCTAAGAATTATGCAACAAAAGAACTACCAAACATTAGCAAACTGCTTGTATCCAATGCAAATAATTACAACCAACCCACAAGTGCCAAACACCCTCATGATTGTATGTTGAGATCAGCGCACAATGAAAAATATAAATAAAAACCAACATATATAGATATGTGCTGCTTCTCCTACGGGGCTACAAGATAAATATTTTGATAGAAAGCCATATCTTAATACAAAAGGTATTTACTTAAAGTACTTTGTGCACCCTTTTTATTTACCATATTTCTATTTCTATATGAAGACATCTCTACTTTCAAGTATAGATAAGGTTTGCATACATTCATCCTCCCCAGACCCTCCCTTGTATGGAATTATACTATGTTTGTTGTTGTTGTTATTGTATTTCTATACCGGGCCATTCCAAAAATTCTTTCAAGCTCCTTCAAATGACAAAAATATGTGGCTGATATTGATTCTTATAAATTTAATGCTACAACGGTTGCTTTTGAGGTTGAGAGCCGGGCTCGGGCTCAACCTTGGAGCAGTTAGTAGGTCAGATATAATGGGCCAAACTCATCACCAAGGAATGATAAAATATGTAACGCATACAATCATATCACTGACCGTAAACATTGACGATAGCATTTGGGAGGAAAAACATGAGAATGAGCAGCACAACCCAAACAGCAAACTTCAAGACCCATCCGCCGTGATGCAAGGAATCACGCCTATCATTTTGATATTTCACTCCAATCATAACAAGAGCAAGAACTCCAAAAAACAAGAAGTTCCCCAAGCTTACACGAAGTACTGCTTGCATTTGATACCATTCATCCGGATGACTGCCTGATTTGTCTATCCCTGAAATTTCACCACATGTATTAAGATAAAATCATACAAGATTTGATTCCGGTAAATAAACTATCAATAAAGATTTGTTGGACTTGTTTTACATCGCCTAAACAAACTCCTTATTAAAATCTCCCCTATCCCACTATTTTTGGTACATGAGAGTGACAAGGAAATTATGAAAAGTAAGATGGTTGATATTGACGTTAAAAAATAAGTAATTAAAGTAAAAAATGAGGGTGAACTACATAAACATGACGACCAAATATAGCATGAGACAAAAATAGTATGACGAACAAAAAAAAAGGTAAAATGAGACAAACATTGTAGGACTTAGGGAGCATGAGTTAAACCTCAACTCTTGAAAGCTCTTTTACGTTGAGTGAGGTCCAATATGTGTTATAGTAAGCTCTTTTGAGGTGAATTAAACCCAATATTTATTTATTGTTCACGAGCTTAGATTATCAATCTCAATAGATAAATAAAAAACACTTGCTAATATCATCCAATAGAGGGTTAAATAAAAAACACAAAAAAAAGAAGAATTACAAGCCCTAGCCCCTAATTAGTGAACTAATTAAATGAATAATCAAGGAAAAAGGAAGGAAAGAAAAAGGGAATTAGAGATACGAACAAGAGAAATGCTTGAGGAGTGGAGGGGCGAATTCTCGGAGAAGCCAAGAGACAACCAACGAGAATCCGAAGATGAGACAGTAACCTAGCCGAGCAGAGCGGCGGCTAATCCCGGACGCCACGGAGGTGCAGACACCGCACGTCAAGGACGCAAAGCAAGATGCCAAACACGACATAGCTGAAAGCTCGAGCTGGATTTCCGAGGTCAGGGAAAAATCGTGGTGCAAAGAAGCGAGGTTTTGGGCTCTCTGGGCAAAAGAATCTTCACGAAGAAGAAGAAGAAGAAATGCAGAGATTTTTTGTTTCCATTTGATTTTAACAAATTTTTCTATTTTCATTTAAGTTAGTTGGACACGGCATATTCTTTGGCAACCACAATCACCCACCTACGTCAATTGCACCTCGTAAGCATAAAGTCAAAACTTTTGACTCTAAATTCAATTATACTTACGAGATGCAATTGACGTAGGTGAGGTGATTAGTTTGTGTCGGGATTTGGCGGGAGAGTTTACCGAAGGGGTTAGAGGGGTAGGAATCATCAATTTTATGAACGGAGCTCTGTAGGGGGACAGTGGCTTCCGTGGCCACTGGAATTCAGTGGCCATGGAACCGGGCCGATTTCTTTTAGTATACAAGATGTTGAATTAGGAAAATTTATCTTGGACTAAAACATAATAACTTTATAAATGTAAGATCATACTCGTATATTTTTATTTCCCAATATAAGATCATTGGTCATTATTCATTAGTCATTGTTCAAGTAAATGTCCATCATCACTAGAGATTATTCCCCCTAGACATTATTAAGTCCTATTTAATGAATAAAAAAATTTAAGTTTCACATTGAGAAATGACTTATATTTTAGTCCTATTTAGTATAAATTTTTCTTGAATTAATATAGGCAAAGTGAAACAATGGTTTAGTGAAGTTCTTTTTAATTAGCATATTAAGACAAAATATGCAGTGACTTGACTTTTTTTTTATTTATGAAATGATAAATGAAAATTCATAAAACAAAAGATATAGTTTTACTTTATGAATAATCAAAAAACTTAATTTCGAAATGAAAAATAATTATGCTAAGTAGGGGTGTAAACGGATTTTAATCGGATCGGATGTGCTATTACCAAATCCGTATCCGTTTACTTTTGTCGGATATCGAANATATCTATAGAGAAACAAAATATAAAAATAAAAAATTAGGAAAGACCATATATAACGGATCGGATACACGGATAAACGGTTATTTAAACGGATGTCAATGCGGAGCGGATTATAAACGGATCGGATGTATGATTACCAAATCCGTATCCGTTTAGCAATCGGATATCCTTAATCGGATACGGATAATAACCGTTTTTAACGGATGCGGATATTTTCTATATAAACGGATACGGATGCGGACGGTAATCGAATTTTCGGTTATCCGTTTACAGCCCTAATGCTAAGTGTACTCTAAGTTTGACATCACTCCTCTTTACAGACATCACAGATATTCAAAATTGTTTCTTGGGAGTAAGGGGGTGTTTGTTTCAGCCTCTTAATGGTTCAGATCTCTGAATGGTTCAGCACTTAATGGTTCAGACTGTTTATTTCAGCCTCTTAATGGTTCAGATGTCTGAATGGTTAAGAGATTTGCCTCTGAATGGTTAAGTATTATACAGAGTCTGAATGGTTAAGACCTCTTATCTGAATTGATTAGACATTTGCCTCTGAATAGTTAAACAATATACTAGCTCTTAATGGTTCAGACCTCTTACTGGTTCAGCACTTAATGGTTCAGACCTCTTACTGGTTCAGCACTTACCTATTCAGAAGTTGCCAAACAGCCCCTAAATGTATGTAGGAATTGTGGTGTGAAAATTGATGTTAAACTTAAGGAATCACAAGTTTGATTCGACCAAAGTAGAATTACACTCGCAATTCTTCAAAAAAAATCTTAATTTTTATTATCGGCAATATTTGATATGCACCAAGGCACTCTTATCTAATAATTGTGTCTTTGGTGCTAAATAAATTCTTTTAATAAATGTGGGTGTTATGTTTATACACGATAATCTTTGTATATTTCAGTATAAGGCATTTCTATTGTCCCAATTTAAATTATCTGTAAGATCTACAAAATTAGTGGTGATATGAAAATATTATTTTATCAAATTACTAACAAAAATAGAGAAAAAAATAAATAAAATTTGATCACGTGAATTGTAAACATGCAATTTAATTTGGAACGGAAAGAATATATTATATCAGTCCTGCTTCATAGCATAGAAATTCGTTAGGTGATGTTTTCTTCTCCCTCTTTTTTGTCTTTAGAAATAGAATCCAATTTGTGAAAAAAGTGGGATGTAGAAAAAATTACTCTATCTTATTCGTGCTAAAGCTGCATTACATAGTTCAATGGAAAGAAAAATTAGTTATTCTGTAAATTTAATAAAATTGGCTTTATTTTAAATATAGTATTAAAATATCAAATATTTATAATATTTAATTATTTTAAATTATATTTAATTTATGATTAAAGAGTGAAATAATTTAACCAAAAAAATCAAACAGTAACAATCTTTTAAGAACAAAGAGAATAAAAAGTTAGTCATTTGCTTTGATGGTCCACGGAATGGTATACATGTTAGCAATTTATGGGCAAGTATCATGTCTTGATAAATGTTTTTTAAAGACATTTCTTGGTGAACTTTTCTTAATAAGTGTCTTCGACAATTGTCCTACTTTAATTTTATAAAGTAAGGAATATGTGATTTAAAAAAAAAAAATTCTTTCTTTTAAACAACTTTCAACCATCCAACAAAATAAAAGGCATGATTTAATCTACGATAGTTTATTGAATTTATTTTCAATCTAACTTATTTTATAACTAGAGTAAAAATAAAATAAATAAATTCAATAAATTTAAAAATCCAAAAGTTTATACTCCGTAAGAAAATAAGTTGTGGCATGACTATATTATTCACTCAAACTATCGGCGAAAATGTAAAGAAAAAAGATACAGAGTACATATAATTTGAATAGTGATTGCATCTTTTATCTTGGGACAAATGGTGTAGATGAAAAAAATACATTCACAATATTAAAAAACAGAAGCCGCATTTATATGGAAAAAATACATAAACATAAACCCCCCTTCAGACATTATTATTATTATTTTTCTTTTTCTTTTTCTATTTCAGTATCATTTCAACATGGGAAAATGTGAAAGACAACAGAAGAGAGGCAGGTGTGGTAGAGTACATATTCACACATCATCGGATCTCAGTAAAATTTGGATTCTGGTCAAAATTTGCAGGGCCTCTACACAATGTGACTCTTTTTTCTGTGCAAGTCTCAGAAGATTCATTGGCAAACATTTTAGTGTTGTTCATCTTACTTGTTGTTCCCGAGAAGAGGCTCGCCGAGATGTCCTTTCCTTGAACCAGAAACATCGTCATTGGACTTTTTCGGTGTCTGTCCTGGTCTACTTTGGCCTCCCTGCATTGTTCAAAACGAATCAACAAGCCGGGCCCATGCAAGAGTTCCATTCTATATTAACTATCTAATAAAACATTCTTGATACATTGAAAAGTGAATGAATGTAGACACACTTTATGTCTATATTCATTTGTTTTTCAATTTACCAAGAATGTCTTATTAGACAGTTAATACGAAATGGAGGGAGTAATAAGCAACCCAAACTCCCAGCCAAAACCAATTCAAACAAACCCAGTAAAATCCCACTCAAGAGTAGGATCTGGGGGGACAACAAACATACAACATGCAATGACACAAAAGTAGTGTCCGGAGAAGGTGTGTGTACTCGGAACCTTACCCCTACTCAGAAGTAAAGGACAGATAAAAATGCCCTCATGGAGTCACGGAGGCCAAAGATGCACGCAAACATTACCCCCACCTACCCTAAGTAATATTGTTTATGAAAGGACCGACCCCCCCCCCCTCCACACACACACACACACAAGCAGTGACATGAGGAGTGAAAAAATAACTCACATAGCATCTAGGCCCTCTACAAGGATCCTAAAATCCTAGTACAAAGCCACTAGGAGCTCCTATTAGAGGTAGAGTTAAGCTTGGGGTACCCAAGGTTAATTCAATTAGAGGTAAGGGTCCTGTTATAGTCACACCACGGTTGACACCGGCTAGTGTGTTGCCGACAATGTCTCACAAAATATTATTGCATGTGTGTGATTGTCTCTAAGAGTGCCAGCCTTGGTGTCGTGACTGGGGTTAAACTAGCAATTTCCCGGAGGTAATGCCCCCACAGAGGTTTAAGAATGTGAGGTTCAAACTCTAATGGTCAAATAGTGAAGTTTTATCAACAGTAAAGCAATTGCATGAAAGAGTGAGGCACTGCCTAAATGCCCTTTAAATGCAAGTGTGTAACCCAACCCACAAACCCAGCTGTAAAAATTCCCACTTAGTCGTTGTCTAGGCCCGCTATGCTGCCGGAATACCAGATTGATGCTTTTTAGGGCAGTGCTCTTGAAACTATTTCATTCATTTTTTTATGTTTCGTGATTAAGGGCTCATTTGGTAAGGGTACCAAACAGCTACTTATTCTGCTAATAAGCAGAGTTAGTCAGAAATGGGTACCAAACAGAGCCTAGATCTAAGGTAACACCACCAAGGTTTAGTTCTTTGTATGGAAAATACAAGGGGTTATCATTGGCAGAAGATAATAAAAACGGGAATAGAAGATTTTCTTCCATGCATAGTAGTAAAAGATTAGAGGCTTTTGAATATGGTCAAGGCATACCAAAAAATGATGGGACTTTAAAAGATCACAACACACACCAATATCGAACTTGGCCTATAACTCTATAAAGGATAGAAAATATCTGCACTTACAGCTGCCTTTTGGGCTGTCAGCCTCCGAGTCGATGGAGCACGTGCCATTGATGAAGCAGCTGCTGCTGCTGCCACACGTATCCTGCAACATCAAATAAATTTTACATTTTTAACTGCATCTATAATTGTTTGGTATAAAATGTTTTTTTATTTTTATTCGACGTGAACTAATGTTGCAAGGATTGAGCACCTTTTATGTACGTCAACATACTCATCTGTCTCATCCACTATTTCCTCCTGCATCATTTTGGAATTTTAGAAAAGTAACTATACCCCTAGGCCCTTAGCCCCAACCCCCCAATAATGAATAGCTCTAGGCATTGTTTGTTTCCAAGAAACTTATTATGGAATCATTTATAAGGGAATAATGTTTTGATGGAAAAAGTTGACCTACATTTAGTATAGTATTTGAAACACAAAGATGCAACAACAACCTACCAAGTATAGACCCAAAGTGGGGTATGAGGCAAGTGTATGCAAATCTTACCTCTGTGAATCTACCTATAAAAGATAAAGAGACTATGTCATGTTCTTTTGCAATTATTTTAAATGGAATCTGGAGGAGTATAGAGTTTGGAAGCTGGAGTTTGGAGTCTAGAGGCTGAAGTCTGGATACATTACTAAATTTAACTAAAATTTGAAAATTGAAGTCAAGAGACGAGAGTGTCTAGAGTCTGATAAACTGGAGTTAAAAGTTGAAAACAACGTGCCTTAATTCTAAGAGCCTCTCGGCTCCCATTCAATGCCTAGTAGATCAGTCCAACAACCAAAAGTAAAGGTAAACTAATACGAGAGAGAAAATGATTTCCTGTATTTGTAAGGAAAAGCCATTTTCCACAAAAGTTCAAATAAAAAAATATTCTTAGTGTGAAAATCTTTCTTGGAAAATGTTTTCCTGGAAACAAACAGGGCCCTAATGGGAATTAAGTGGACCAAAGAAAACCTGCAAAAGCTCCTCAAACACATCCTCCAGGGTGATGATGCCAATTACTTCACCGTCCTCAAGATCCTCTGAGGGCTGAGGCAGGCCATTTGTTTCGATATCAATCACCACAGTATCTGACTTCTCATTCTTCTTGGAGAGCAAAAGAGTATTTAACTCAGGATTAACATCCGTGTTTGCTGTCTCTTCAGGTCGTTTATTATCTACTGATGGAAGGTTTTTACTTTTTCCTTTCACCTTCACTACAGCAGCCATGTGACTGCTACCTTTCTGAAACTCGTTCAAAATGTCATAGAGGGGCATATCTGAAGGAACCCTGTACATATATGCAGATAATAATATATCATGATTTTGGTATTAAAAGCAAACAATTAAAGACTAAATACAAACCGAGGAATTCTCCGGATCGAAACAGCACTAACTGGGGTCTCAGTTTCAGCCCGAACAGTAAGAAGGCTTTTGACCTAACATTGCAACAATATATGTGTTAAATTGTGCCTGACACATCCCAAAAGGTCCTAAGGTTTACTTCACACCTATAAATTAGACTCAAACTAAGTAGACAGTGATGTAGCATGTTCAGCACATGCCATCCGCGGCTCCACCTGGCAGACAAATGGGCCCAAACCGAACACCAGATGGGCTGCCCTAAACCATCAAGTGGGCAGGTGCCCCACAAACAACTGCCGAAAAAAGGGTCTGATAGCATTCTTGGCTGTGATAGCAAGTTAAAGTGGGTCTAACTTAACCCGAAACAATCCGCAAAAGGGTAAGATTTACCTCACAATTATATATTACTAAGCTCTATTAGACAACTTATGTGGAATACTCAATAAAGTTAAGAGTGAAGACATGAAAAAAAAACACAAGGTTAATATGTTTATGGTTCAAAACTGTTCTGAGGGTTAAGAATTCACCAGGAGAAGCCCAATAACATTCTTCGGATTGCCGGAGTAGACAGGGACTCGACTGTGACCTCGAGCAAGAATTTTTCCCATTGCTTCCCTAACATGGGGGAAAGACAAGAAAAAACAAGAAGATTCAACAGTCTTCCAGCTGTCCACTAGTGGAAGGGGTTAACCTTTCTTATAAATATATATGGATACTGCATAGGACAAAACAGAATTGTTTCCTGTAAGGGGTCATCTTATTTATGAAAGGGAATAATCAGCAGCTAAACTCCATATAAATAAAAACTGAATGCATAGAACAGGATATTATTTTTTATATACAAACAAATGATCATTGATGTTTACTAAGAATTTGCCTTTTCACACAGAAGTGCAAAGATGATCAAATTATGGGAACTTATTCATTTAATGAATTTGGTTATTTAAGAAATGAGAGTATTATTTAGAGACGAGCCAATAAGAAAAAATGGTAAATAAACAGGCCTAATGGTGTATCAGTGAATTTTCACGGAACCTTGTAAGCATGCATTTATTGATACTTACCAGTCTAGTTTTGAATTAACATCCAGAGAAAATGTAGACTCAATGGGAGTCATGGCCTCTTCAGCAGTCTGTTGCAGAGATTTAGAAAATGCAATTGAAAGAAAACAAAACATCAATACGCATAATTATGACTGGCTAGTTTGATGTTTTACATGAGTGCATACACACGCGTGCACAGCTACGTCATTGATTTGTAGCTCCTTATACAAATAGGTGAATTTGAACTCTAACTTCATGGTATCGGGGAGGGGGTCCATTAGTTTGTCAGGTCTTCCCTTCCCAATTCAAATAAGACTACTTGAGAATTGAGATAAATTTTATACCATCATAAAAATTTTAAATTCATACACCAAGTATTGTTTTGTCCCTTCTTGCTTTGTCTTGTTGCCTTACCCTCCCCCAAACATCATCTGTGTTGCGAAAGAGAGATTCACTGTGGGGAAACATGATTTTTGAAAAGGAAAAAAAACTCTCCCGATATATATGTTCAATATTCTTTTTTGGGCTGTCTAGATATATTTGTTCACTTTTTATTTAAATTTTAATAATAAAGCAAGTATTGGCCCACTTGCATCCCAACTCATGTGTTGTAATAGATCAAAGAATCTGTTAGTAAGTTTCAACTACTAATGATTCACATAGCACGCACACGCACACGCACATATATATATATATATATATATATATATATATATATATCAATATTGATTAGATTATTAGAAAATTATACTCGTATTATAGTAAAAGTTCACATTCATCAAAAGTAAAAGAAGTTGTAAAGGTGTATATGACTATTGCAGTGCCAAAAATACTACCTTTTCAGTCAAATCCAGTGCTCCACTAATAATTGTTGTCTCATCATGTGTGAGTTCACCCCCCTTGCCAGCCTGCAGATGGACATTATTAACATAAAAAATCATAAAAGGCAGTGACCACTTCAATTTGGATTTCCCAGAAATAAATAATCATAATCAAACCACTTGAATGTATTGGCAACTACTAGAAGAGCATTAAAGGTCCCCCCCCCCTTAATTTATCTTTTTTTTAATAAACAAAAGAAAGATACAGACCTCTTTACTATGGATAGAAACCAAAGCCTTCAATTGAGCTCGTCTGAACAAAGCTTCATTATGTCCTAATACAAAATCTAGAATCTGGAGCATAAGCCATAAATCAATTGGTAATTACTATACAAGTTAAGTGTAATATTGCCGAAGTAAAATGAACTCAAATGTTTATCATTTGGCAAATGATCAAATACCACCACACCATATAGCACCTCCATGAACTGATGGAAACCATAACCGCCATAGACCACCATTCCTAAGTCAAAAAATATTTTCTATGGCCCAGCCAAAAAAATACGGCACTATTCCTCTACCATTTAACAATATTGAACTTGTATTACTTGTTTTTTAAATATTACTCCGTACTATGTTAATGTTATGCTTGTGTGTGTGTGTGTGTGTATCAAGCAAAGTGCCCTGAAAGTGTGTTAAACCAATCTGTAAACTAGAATCCTGCGGTTTTAAAACCAGGTGCTCAAGACACTCTGAGATGTGAAAGCACGGAATTATACAGCTTGTAGGTCAAGTGCTCTAAACTTGTTACAAATGTGACTGATCCTCTACCTTTAAGACGCAGCAAGTGTGATAACTAAGAAAACTTGTTAGAATGGAACACCAGATTATATTAAAAAATAATGGGTTAATAAGGTTGATCTGGCTAATTGACTGGATCAAATTATTATCTATGGTTTAGCCTAGTGTCTTATAATAGCATAGTGAAGTTACCCCAACGAAATTCTGGATTTTATGAGTATGACCAATTAGTATTTGTCTTGCCTTAGTGGGTTCCCTTACATAGTCAAATTCATCAATTGAGGTGATGCTAAGAAATTTGTAAAGCATAAAAAAGAAAACTTAAGTGTAAAATGATATGTGAGAGGATAGTACAATCTAAAACTTTTGGGCCAAGAATATATCATTAAGACTGACGATACACTTTATGACCTTGGCATCAAGTTTATCTTGCTCAGAAGGGTGTCATTAATAAAAATAAGTGCACACAAGATCCGTAATGAATGTTTATGGAGCAACTTTTTCTGGTATATGATATTGAAAGGATTCTTTCCTTGGGTGCAGAAGATGAACATTATATGGATGGATAAAGCAGCAAGATATTAATATTTGATTATTCACCACCCAACTAGCCTTTCAATTTCAACAGAAGTTATTGTTTGTGGAGCTTTACTGATAAAATGATTGAAACCAATTTCACATGAAGTGAAAATCACCTTTCCAATAGGATACGCAATAGGGTAACAGATGATCATTAGAACACGAACAAGCCAAACAAAATTTGCTCCTACAGCAAGTCCATACCTGGTGCAAATTGCTTGAGGAATAACCTGCCAGCAAAGAAAGATAGAAGGTTAAGTACTTCTTAGAATAAATATGTCATAATCTAAGTATAGCTTCTGTATGGAGTTTACCTCTCCAAATGCTAACACAAAAGTTACAGACAGTATAATAGCAAGATATTGGTTGAAAATTTTGTCCAGATATATAGGAAGGGCCTGTAAATGACAAAGAGTTGAAGATAAATTGGTTACCATCCGTCAAAACATAACCTTGCATAGTTCTTGATGAAAAAATAAGCATCCACTCTATTGAATGTTGGGAATGGAATTGTTTCCAAGTGTGAACCCTTCTAACAGTTTGGTCATAGGTTGAAGCTCCAGAAATAATCTCTGGAAGTAAGGTTCCATAGATCTTCCTTCTCTAAACTCTCCATGATACAAGAGTCTCACACTCTCACACATTCGGTTTAACCTTTTAAGCATTATATATATATATATATATATATATATATATATATATATATATATATATATATATAGGGATTGACTCCAGTGAGATGACACCTTACGGTGAGATGACATGCTACGGTCAGAAGACGCAAAGCTCACCACTGGCCACTGGCTCACCAAAGATAACTACAAAGCTCACCAAACTGTAAGGCAAAGTTCACCATATTTTTTCAACACTTTGAATTTTTTTTTGAAAAAAATAAAATCAAATGAAGGGCTGCTGACTAGATTTTGACCGTTGACCACCGCCTCCCGCCAGCCGCCGGCCACCACCGCGCCTGCTGGCCGGTGGTTGAACTGTGTTGCTATTTAATTTTTTAATTTTCAAAATTAAAAAAAAGGTGAGTTTTGGTGTTCAAAGTGGTGAGCTTTGCTATATTTCCAGGTGAGCTTTGATTGTCCATTGGTGAGCTTGGTAGTGTAATGTAGTGAGCTTGGGGTCATCTCACCGTAAGGTGTCATCTGACCGGAGTCAATCCCATATATATATATATATATATATATATATATATATATATATATATATATATATATATATATTTATATATATATATATATATTTATATATATATATATATATATATATTTATATTTATATATATATATATTTATATATATATATATATATATATATATTCTCACTTGGCCAAACAAAATATGTTAGGAATAGAAAAGGCAGTGAAAAATTATCAACAATGAGATTTTGATTTAACAGAATACGTATATGCAAGTAATTTAAAGAGAGGAGAGAGATTTTCTAGGGCCCCAGCTCATACTCCGTACTAAATTACAAACTGATATGGGTTATATCTGCTCAAAATAATATTATGGAATCCCATAATATTACCACGGAAGAAAGATATACTGAAATACAATGCACAAAACAGTTCTATTGACTATGGATTACATTTCTATAGCAGATTAGCAAGCCTTCCTATTTTGCTTAACTAGATTAAGTAAGCATACTAGCAATGTAGTCATCCTCATCCATAACCTGCAGTTCTATGAAGACAACTTTGAACAGTAGAGTGAGTAGACTTAAATCACTGATACTGCACCATGTTCCTATAGGTCATGTTGATATGATAGTATGAAGGGGGTGGTGTGCGGTGGGGGAAGCTATATTGGAAATCCAATGAGGAATATAATGCAATTATGTGTTCCACTTCTTGAACTGTAAGAGACACACCTTATTATATTTCATTACATTTCTTCACTTTCCTTGAGCTTGTAAGAAGATAATGTGCTTGTTGTTTGGAGCAATTCTTTGTTCTTCTATTTAATTTTGCAACTATTATCTATAGTTATTACTGAGAAGACTTAAAATCGTGCGTACACAGTTAATACAGATTCAGTTCTACTCTTATTCTTTGCAAGTATTTCATCCTCACCTTCTACAACTAAAGTGTAACATGTGTTCATTATTTTTTCAAATTTATGCAAAATGGCTCGTTAAACTATCTGCGCTTCTTTTATTGTGAAGTAACAGTCAGTCAATGCAACTCTCAACACTCGCCATGGGTCATCCGGAAATAGTCGCTCTATGTTTTATACATAGAAGTCAGGCTGCGTACATCTGACCCCCCACCCTACCCCGCAATGGGCGGGAGCCCTTTGAGGCACTGGGGTAATGTCGTTGTATGCAAGAAACAATCAAATATATTCTGAGAAAGAAAGTATTTCAGTTGATACCTCCATTGCAACAGCATTACATAGAAGCAAGGTCACAAGAAGCTGATGTTGCTTCTGAACAACTGGGAATATTGCAGCTGAAAATACACAGTGGATGAAATGCAGTAAATACGGAGTAAATGACTAAAGAAGATTACTTTAAAAGTGAAAAAGAAAAAAAAAAGAAATGGGCAATTTACATAAAGCATGCAATGTTTCAGAAAACACCAAGAAGCATTTTTTTCAAGCTTAACCCCTAATAGTTGAGCATAGTTATATTACAGTTCGCACCTAGGCCTATATGCCTTCGTAGCGAACGACACTCTCCATCTAAGGTATTTAACCTCCCACCGGAAGAAGAGCCTTATCAATTTGTGCATATGGTGTGTGTGTGTGTGTTTGACAACAAGCTCATTGCAGTATTTTTGAGGGAAAAAAAAAAGAACTCTTTGAGGTAAATTAAATGCTTGTCTTAGATCAAATATCTATTAGAAGTGTTTGGTAACCAACTTTTTAGTCCCGAAAAGCTGGTGGTGATCGAAAAGCTTGCCTTGAAATTCAAGCTCTTGGGAGATAGTTGTCCACAAATTTTTAGATTAAAACCTCAAAGAATTTACACAAAAAACTCATCATACAAAAATGCATTGTTTGGCACAAGACTATCATGGCACAATAGTCAAAAGCTTATACTCCGTATAATATAAGAAAATTTGTGTAAGTGGTTTCTGATAGTTATTTCAGGAAAAAAATGCGTTACGTTGTTTGTATCTGTCAAGTGTTTGAGCTTTTAAAGGTGAAAAAAAACTGTAGACCAAAAAGCTTGTCTCCTAAAAAAAACCTGCTTGTTTCTTCTCGGTGGGAGTTCCACTGCGCTGTAGGATCTCGAGCTCCACGATGCCCAGAGACATGAGACCCAGGGTGAGGCCGGACATGATTCCGGCGAAGAGGACGAGGACGCACGAGATCCCGGCGTAGACATACCATGTGACGGTGCCGAATTGGATCTCGGCCCCCAGCGGCATCTCCCTCGTCGTAATTCGGACCATAGCCAGAGCATTGATCGGATTCATACTTCGGCCCTTCTTCTCCGCCGAGCACCTTTCTCCGTTTCCGAACTCCGATTGCCGATGCCCTTCTTCTGCTTCGTCAAATCAGATTTGTTTCTCTCTGATTACTTCCCCATGATTTTTGAGTTGAATTTCTCATAATGCCACTGGTTGAAGAATATATGGAAAGGATGATGAAAAACACCACACTTTTTTATACCTTTTGATCTCTTCTTCTTGAAGCTCTTTATAGCTTTTTTGAGAAACTCAGACCCCATTTGGTACATGGAATTCAAATTATGGAATTGGAATTGAGGACTTCAATTTTAATTCTGGTGTTTGGTAGCACAAAAATTATATAGATTTGGAATTGATAGTGCAAAAAATGAATTAGAATTGGCAGAATTCAATTCTATGGAATTGAATCCCATGGAATTTCAATTCCAATTTCGTCAATTCCGTATACCAAACGGACCCTCAATGAATTGATGACTCGAATTTATGGAACTAGTAAAAATAAAAGAAAAAAGGAATGCTAGGGGTACACCATTTGGTGTACCCCATTTGTCCCCCACTCATTTCTCCACCATATAATTTTATTTTATTTTTATTTATTTAATTTTTTTTTATTTTCTTGCCTTTTTTTGTGGTGATGAAGGGGTGGGGGACAAATGGGGTACACCAAAGGTGTACCCCTAGCATTTTTCAAAGACAAATGATAGGGTATACCAAATGTGTACTTCATTTGTCCCCCACCCCCTCCTTGTCCACAAAAAAAGACAAGAAATTCAAAAAAAAGTTAAAATAAATTAAAAATAGGTGGTGGAGAAGGGGATGGTGTACATTTGGGGTACACCTTTGGTGTACCCCTAGCATTGCTCAAAATAAAAGTGTATTTTGCTTATTTTTATGATATGGCATATACTCTCTCCCTCCCAAATTATTTGCAACGTTTGCTTTTTCAGTAGTCGCGGAAATTTTTGTTTTTTATGTTTTCATTAGTTATTTGATAAAATAATATATTCTTGACACCTTTTATTTCGAAGAATTTTTCATGTAGTTTTTTTATATGTAAATTTTATTTTTTATTTCTATACTAATATGTAAATAAAATGAATTGAAAAAAGTTGATATTTTGTCTCGAGAATACAAATGTAGCAAATATTTAGGGACGGATGGAGTATATATTAGGAGAAAGAAATCCATCTAAAATAAAGGGGGTGACGCATATGAGGTATTTTCATTGAAATAGTGTACTTAGGTGGAGAGATAAGAGAATACGTGAAAGTAGGATCCGAGTTCGATTGATTCCTAACCATTATGCTGGAAAGTAATAATGTTAAGCATATGAATTCTATAGATATATGATGTAGTCTTACTCTTTGCTACCCATTTGTTTTTTGGTCCGGCTGATTTTGAAGGATCTTCAAGGATAGAACTCATTTTTTTATGAAAATAATGTAGTTTTAAAGACAAATTATATGTCACAATCGATATACTTTTCTCTTGGTGCATCATGACAAATTTGATATTGAATAATGCTTCTAAATGAATAGTACATTGTTCCAAAATAGACATGTTTCAGAATGAACGTTATGTTCAATAGATTTCGCAATGAATACTACGATTGAAAGTACACATTTGCTTAATTAAAAAATTAATATTCATCGATCGAGTGTACAAAGCGCTGAGTACAGTCGAAGGTACGATATACATTTTTCTAGTTTTAATATTCAAAACTGTTTCTAAAAAATCAAATTTATTAGGAGCGAGCAAGTAACTAAATGGAACGACGCGTCTAATATTTATAACTGTATACACAGAAAATCTCCAACTGAACGTATATACTACTTCGTAATATAGTACAAAAGTATATATATATAAATATTAATCTTATTATATTTCTTCATCAAACATTACATTTTTTCGTCCAAATTTAACTTTCATATTCGACTTTTTTTGTTGAAGTTTACAAGTTCTTTTTTGTAAAAATTTGTAAACTTTGACTTCAATATGTGAAAAGAATACATTGTGTTTCTTATATAAATGTAATATCAATAGTTTTAAAGGGTGTTACTATATCAACCCCCAAAATTGCTATATCCACACCTTTTGCCTATTTACTAAATCCGCACTCATTCATATAAGTTTAGTATTGGCGTGGATTTAGCAAATTTCTATGAAAATGATGGACATAGCCATTTTTGGGTGAATTTAGCAACACCCGTTTTTATTAAAATGTTGTTTTGAAAGATTATTTTTTTATAAAATATATATATGTATAAATATCAGTATTATGAAGATCGGACCAACCGGTTCAATCGGTTGGATTGCGACCTGAAAACCAATTCGGTCCGGTTCGTTAGCCAAACTCATTTCCTTAATGACTCGACCAAATTCGTTAAACTTGAGGAACCGAGTGACACAAGTCAGTCCAATCAGGTCGCGAGTTTGGATTTAAAACTGTATTTATACTTACTTTAAAAAGTGAAATGAAAGGACAGGGGATCAAACTTCCCGCCCTTAATGACTCAATTCAAATTCTGACTACATGAGCTACTACGACATTTTTTTTAAATGTCATACAATACAAATTATATTGGCTATTTGTATTGCAAAAAACTTAGAGAGGTATTTATTCATAAACTTTTAAATTAGTTCAAAGAAAAAAGCATTATTTTTTCAAAAGAAATCAATAAATTTAAATATTGTAAACCTAAAAAATTATTTTCACTTTCAAAAGTTTAGTACGGAGCAATATTTACTAATTATAGGTAGAGTAATATTATATGCCATAGTTTATTTCTTTCTCTCGTTTTCTTTTTTCAATCAGTGCAATATAAGTCTAAAATATTATATACGAATTAAAATATTTTTATCAATTAAAAGTATCTAGTAAAATAATATAAAATTTAATTTTTTATTATAGTTAACCGGGTCATTGACCCAGGTTTGGTCAGTTCAACTGGTTAACCATTGACTCACTGCCTCGTTCGGGTCGATGTTCGATCCAATTTTCAAAACATGGATAAATATCGATATTTATGGTCAAATTATTACATTATAAACCGTGATAGGTTAAATGAGAAATTAGATAATTTTGTTTTGAAAATTTGAATCAAGTTTATTACGTGTGAATTGTACTTGTATTCTAGTTTTAATTTTTTTTGGTAAATGAATATTAAAATCAAAATTGCAATGCAAAGGGTAAAATGGTAAACTCCGCAGGCCGTAAGACCGGCTCCTCACTCTCACGAAAGTTCAACAATTCCATACGAAACAATTCCATCTTAATCTGCAAATGGAAATCGGAATCAAGTCGGAGACGCGGATTTAGCGGATGGATCCGTCTATGGCAGCTTCTTCTCCCCGGGCATCTTCCGCCAAGAGCACTACTACATCTTGGTTTTCCGGCATTGTTCGGGGCCGCTCAGGCAGCTCAAACATGCCCAATAGCGCAACCCCTTCCGTTCCCGCCGATTCCTTTAAGGACTCTCCGATTACAAAGAAAAAACAGTTCCGTGGAGTGATGTTTAAGTACGGCCCTAATCCAGTTCAGGTCTGCCGGAGTTCTATTCGTTATTCATTTAGTTATGCTTATTTTTCCGGCTTTGAAAACTATTTGTAAGTTCGGTGCATAGCTGTAAGAAGGAATTGTCATTCGTATTGAAAATTGGAGAAAAATGTGCATTTAGGGGAAATACTACTGAGTATATTTTTATGTAAAATCTGCCGGGGTGCAGTTCTGGTTGGTTGGGGACCTGTAAATTTCACAGAAATGATCAATGCTGCAGTGTGTTTGTGTGTTTGGTTTGTATGGTACATCCATAGGGAAATTGAATGTGATAACTTGGAAGTATGGTGATTGGGTTTGTGTTTTCCCATTCAATGCAAATACTTTATTGAAAAAATAGAGGGAAATTCACCTATGCTCCCATTGGATACAGAATAATAGAGGGTAAGACATGACCAAAACAAAATATTAGTGGCCATTGCATAAGAACCCCTTCATAATTGTATGTCACAATATTTTGCAGGTTGCTTTCAAGACTGGTGAGTATAAACAACAAGTCATTTTTATAGGCGGACTAACTGATGGATTTTTGGCTACAGAGTATGTATAGATAAGAAGTTAATTTTATTTGTTGAGATTTTGCCGATTCACTATCAATGTTGGTATTGTTTAAACAATCACACTTGATTGGGAGTGTAATTACAACAACCCAGTTGAAATCCCATGAAAGTAGGGTATGGGGAGGGTGTGGGTGTGAAGACCTTACCAGTTACCCCTACTTGAAAGTTGGGAGGCTGTTTCCAAGAGACCCCCGGCCTAAGTAACACAAATAACTCTGGGAGTGTTATTTTACTTATGCAATATTGATTTCCTTTTGCATTGCTTTCTTAAAATCTGGGCATTCCCCTAATTCTTATATAAATTTGACACTACGTAGCCTGAGTCATGTGAATGTAAATACTAAGAGGCGCATGTGAAAAACAAATATCAGCACGAAGTATTATATGTTATACCTCATGTGCAAGGGCAAAGAAGAAGAGATTGATACATATATATATATATTCATATTTGGGTACATCTAACATTGAATGTATGTATGGGAAATCATTGGCTTTTATTACCTAATTATTAATTCAAGAATGAGTTTGAGAACTTGGCAGACTGAGAAGGCTCTTTCTGCCCTTAGGGTTTTAACAAAGACATAGTTTTCAACACATAAGTCGTTTATTAGGAATGCTTCAACGTGTTAACTGATAACTTTTGTACTGTGTGTGAACTCTGAACTACTGGAACTTGGATTCTCTCACATAAATGTTTGCAGCTTCTGAAGTTAGCAGATGTTTTTGCAGATATTTGGAGCCTTTGGCTATTGCTTTGGATAGAGAGAAATGGTCTCTAGTTCAATTTCTTCTTTCCTCTTCGTATAGTGGCTATGGAACCTCAAGCTTGAAACAAGTAATTTCTTCTCCAATTCCTTGAATGTGATGTCGGCAAGGCTAGATGATTTCTCAGTTGTCTTGAGTTGAATACTTTTTCTTAATTTGTAGTGTTAACTAGTGATAAACAATAAATGGTTTCTATAAATTTCATGCCACCAAGCTCAATATACTTGCTATTAAGGCGGTGGTGATGAGAGTGTATACCTCAATCTATAATTCTATATTAATGTTCGGAAGCTGATTCTGAGTTATTTTAATGACTTTTCTTCAGTCCATCCATCTTCACTCCTCAGTACCACAACTTTTGTCGTCCCGATGAATGTGCAGCTGTCACTACTTGCTAGGCAAACATCTACATTTTCCTAATCAGAGATTTGTTGTTATTTGGTTTTTCTATGCTTGGCACTCTATATTTATCCAATATAGCATGTGACATATGCTTGTACTTTGTGTCTGCTAAATTTCTTTCTTCTAGCCAATATTTGAATGTTTTATATTTTCTGTAATATGTATTTTTTCATGTGAAATTTATAGTGACCTTTTTCTGTATTGCATGTAAAAAATTGATTCTAAAATTTGAAGGATTCCACGGAGCTTGATCAATTGATAAGTTACTTGATAAATAAGGAAGACTCTGAGGGTGTGGTACTTCTTGGACACAGTACTGGATGTCAGGTAGTAAACTGTTTTTATTTATTTATCATAATTTGAAATGACATGCATAATATAGTTTTCTTTCAATTAAGAGCAAAACATTCCATGCATATATGTGATTATTCCCGGGAACAATGACTCTTCTGGTGTTTAATTTTAGGACATTGTATATTACTTGCGCACCAATGCCGCATGTTCTAGAGCAGTTCGTGCTGCTATTTTGCAGGTAACACACTCAACATAGAGCTTACAAGTTCATGCAACACAGTTTCTACAACTATTCTTTAGCTTTTGTTGCTTTTGAGTGTCTTACATCGGTTGTCCACTAGGCTTGACTTTAATGTATAAGTGTAAGGTAAACGTCACATGTTGAGGATTCTTTTGGGGCATGTTAGACCAATTTAACATGGCATAATAGATTGTTCTGAATTCTGATAGGTGTTTATGGGGAGTAATGTTATGGGTAGTCCATTTAGGGATGGTTTTGGCCCATTTGTCCGTCCCATAGGTTGTGTTGATGGGAATGTGTTGAGTTCTTTCATCGGCTGTATGCTGTGTTTGAGTATAGTATAATATCTGGGAAAATTCACATCTTGAGGATCCCCTTGTTGTGAGTTAGACCTTATTTAACCATTATGATTCCCTTTTTATGTGCAGGCTCCAGTTAGTGATCGTGAATGCAGAGCAACTCTTCCTAACACTGCTTCTATGATTGATTTGGCCTCAAAGATGATAAGTGAAGGTCGAGGTTTAGAATTAATGCCACGAGAAGCAAATCCAGATGCTCCTATAACTGCATATAGGTAAGGTTCATACCTTCAACTGTCATTTCCCTCACCTAACATTAGCTGCTGGTTTAAACCGTCAGCCTTCATTCGTTATGCCAATGACCTGAGCTCAGTGAGTCACTAGTCCGGAGGCTATATTCACAGCCAAACAAATCTTGCGTTAAGAGGCATAAAAATCATTCAACTGCAGAGGACTGAGACACCAATGATTGTATTATTCATCATAAGTTGACTTGTGAGTTGTGACTTTTACACGTTGTTTGGATGGAGAAAAATGAATAGTAAGGATGCATAAGTGTACTTATGAGTATTTTACCTTGTTCGGATCTAAGCTCAAAATAAGGAGATGGAGAGAACAAAAATAATGTTTATTTTTCTTCCAAACAAATATCTCTGGTTGTTGGAATAAGGCTTGCCTGATTAGTTTAGTAGTGAATAATATTAAGACGGGTCAAAACTTACAATAAGCTTACCATGAATATTAAGATGTGTCAAAACTTGCACTTTTTTTGCTTTGGAGGAAGCTATCAAACAAAAGGCCAACAGCCCAACACACACTGTCACCGTCCACACCTTCAAAGGGTAGACCAGGAGATCATAATGTCATATAATGCATGATGTATGGTCTAAAACATATAAAATTCACCATTCATGTACTATAAGTATGAAATTCAAATATTCTGTTCTCATCACGAACAAACTCTTTTCTCTATTTCTCATTTGTCATCATTTCATTTGATATAAAAACTATTTTGCAGATATCACTCACTTTGTGCCTACAATGGTGATGATGATTTGTTCAGTTCAGACCTCAACGATGATCAGCTGAAACAAAGACTTGGGCACATGTGTAGCACTCCGTGTCAGGTATTATTTGTGTTACCCTTTATTTCTCGAATAGAAATATTATTTCTTCTGGACAGTAACATGTTGAAAAACAGTCACCATTAGGTTGTCCTGTTTCCTTGATAAAAATGCAAATGGAGTACTAATTCAGAAGTATTTTCTTCAGGTGATATTTTCCATGGGCGACGAATATGTTCCGGATTATGTTGACAAGAAAGCATTAGTTGATAGGCAAGGGCTTCAATTTTCTCGGCTTTTCCTTGATGATAATTTGCTTCTCAAGTGCATTTCGTGCAAAGTAGTTAATTGTTTATTATTGTATTCCTGTTGAAATGTGCAGGTTGTGTAGAGCAATGGGTGGTGCTGAAAAAGCTGAAATTGAATATGGAAACCATTCTTTATCAAACCGAGTAGAAGAAGCTGTTCAAGCTATAATGAATTTTGTTAAGAGAGAAGTTCCTAGCGGATGGGACGACCCTTGGAGTTAACTGGTCACACTTCTTGCACCTTCCTTCCCTCATCACTGATACTTAAGTTATTTAGAGGACTGGATAACTAGTGCATTTTCTTGTAGCTTTATCTACTGTTTTATCTCTGTACATCATCATAATTTACAGGTTTCTTGTTGACATGTTTGTAGTACAGCCTTTTTTTTAACTCTTATATTTGGTTTGGGTCTTTCGTTTGAAAACCATCAAATATGTTTGAAACCAGGCTGCACTAATAAGTGACAACAACCCAGTAAAATACCACAAAAATAGGGTCTAGGGAGGGTGTGTGTGCGTAAGACCTTACCCCGAATATGAAGTAGGAAGACAGTTTCCAATAGACTGATTAAACCAGACTGTGCTAAAACACTTCTTTTTTTGTTTCTTAACAATACTTCAAAATGTTTTTTTTAAAAATCATTTAGTTGTGTTGCAAAGAATTAGAAAAGTGTTTTTTTCCAATTTTTCGTATTAATTTTTTTTTTGTTTTTTTCTAAATTTAATGCCCGACTTAGTTACTTGATTATACACCATTACTTAATTTGTTCATTGACATTTACTAAACTTAAAATCATCATTGAGGGTCGAGAGATATTGAGAGTCCTTATTTTCTTCCAAGTGAGTAAGTAATTCCTCATTAGAAATCAAAGCAGCAGGGAGTGAGAAAAATTGCTCCCAAAGAATATCAATCTAGGAGAGAAAATCAGTGATGCTTTGGGAAGGCACACTTAACAAAGCTGATGAATTTCATATGAGTATAACTGGTTTGCAGGTAGCCAGGTAGGTGGATTTCAATGTATCCCAAACATCCTTGGATGTGTCCGGTTCATGAATGGTCATGACAAGTTCCTTAGTGCAGTTCGTCTGTATGAGAGCAACGGTAAAAATGATTCATTTTTCTCCCATTTGTCTAGATCCCCTTCGTTGTTTCTTTTAGGCTTGGTAGAATCCCCCTCTAACAATCTTCAAGAGACACATATCCAAGTAATGAAGGCCATCAAGCTCGACTTTGCTAGAACATAGGGTTCTAGTTGGTGTCATTGGAGGGGGAGGGAGGTCGATGAAGAGGTATGTGGTTGGGGATGGAACCCTAGGATCAAGAATATCTGTCAAAAAGGGCAGGTCCACCAGAAAGTTGGACACCATGTAAGCCGAGATATGCCATGTTCTCGAGGAAATATTTCCGAATCCAGACTTAAAACTCTAGACTCTAGACATCTCAATGTATCCAACCTCTTTCTAGTGCAATATACATCCAATAAAAATGTACATGTTCTTATTTTTCAAACTTCATACTCTAGTATTGAGACTCCAAACCTCAAACTACATAGCTTTAGACCTAAGATTTCAAACAAAAAAATAAGTCATGGAGAACATGCCCATACTCTAAGAGTCAAATTAAAGTTCATTGATTTCCATAAGTTGCATTCCTTTGTTGATTGTGCTTGAGCCGAGCCTCTTGAAAACAGCCTCTCTACTTTCTGAGTAGGGGTAAGGTCTATGCACACGCACCTTCCCCAGACCAAGTTTTTTGTTGTTGTTAGCAATGCATATATACAAGTCCTTAAAGCTACTGAAACACCTCTCCCTTTCAACATCATCTACAAATGGACACCATTTTGTTTTATTGAAATTATTTGGGTCATGTTTTCTTTAACTTATTCTTATTATTGTTTACTTTTTCTTCTTGGAATCAGATCAGATCAAATCAGAAACAACTTTATATATAAATACATTCAGATGAGATCAATTCAGGTGAAGAGAACATGGCCTTGGTATGCCAATCAAGGCTAGTTGAAATGCAAAAGTTTAACCATGCACCTATATGTCTGTTTGAGAATTTCAACTCAAACTCATAACAGTCCACTAAGTAGTACATATTCTGACTTATTCACCCTTTTTTGTACCTTAACATTGACCAGCTTATAGTCACACTTGCCCTGTTTGGCCTTGACAAAATGTGGCATGCCCTACCTAAGTAGCTCATAGCTCTGCAACCCTTAATAAAGTTTTTGGACCTATAAGAAGAACTCCCTTTACAGATATGATTGGGCCTGACATCTTGTTAGCCTTCTAAGCACTGACTGAGATTTGGGCTTCTTGCTCTAAATAATCTTCCCACCTGAAATTATTTGTTTCATCTCTTTCCCCTAATTAATGATTAGAAAAATACTATTTTGCCCCCACCCTTGCCCCTAATTTTACCTCTAACCTTCACACACACACACGATTTCACAAACACTCCATACAACGATAACATCAGTTAACCCGGTGTATTCCCAATTGTGTTGGGTCTGGTAAGTCAAGATGAACACAATCTTACCCCAGATAAAGCAGAGAGGTTATTTTTGTTAGACCTTTGATGCACTGTTGCAGTTTCATCCCAAAAAGTTGGTAGAAAGTAAAAAAAGCAACAAAAGTTTGATGTCATTTTAATGTAGACATGCCATATGCATGCAGGACAATCCAGTTTGTCTTGCTTTTTGTGTAGTTTGCATGTTGTGAGTCACACATCAAAATATTATGGTAACTGCTACTCTAACTAAGATGACACCAAAGCACAACATATGTTGTAGTCTCACAATCATTGTCCGTGAGACAGTAATGGTGTCAACTTTGGTGTCATTCGTAGTGTGACTGTAGCATGACCCAAATCTCATACAGAGTACAAAATTACACACTAATATTGATTGGTGCAAACATTCTTTTAAAAAGTAAATATGTATGGGAATTATTCCAAACAAAAAGAAAAGAAAGAAGTGAACATTCTAGGTATATGCAAGAATGTAACCTTTTTATTTTATGTTTTAAAGTTTTCCACAGAGAGGAGCCTAAGAAAAAGCCAAAAAGGACTTAGCTGTGGTGGTGGTGGTGGGGAATATTGCCATGAAAGTTAGCAAAGGAAGAGACACTGTGAGCATATATAAAAAAAAAGTTCAGGTAGGGGTGTGGGAATTGCTAGGCTCCATGTGAATTTTGCAGGCAGGCAACCAGGCAGCATCTATAAACTGCTCTTTTGGATCTTTCTTTCTTTATACTTATCTCTCTCTCCCTCTTTTTTCCCCTTCCCATTTTACCCCTCCCTTCCAAAAATAAATTTTACTCTTTCCATTTTGGGTAATTCAAAATAAAGTTCACACCTTTTTTACTTTCCTGTCAAAGCTAAGATATGTGGTTCAAAATGTTTCTCCTCATGACGGAGTACTTTTTACTTTTTTACGTTCTTTGAAAAACTCCGTGATGTCGAACTGTGAACTTCATTTTGGGACGGCGGGTGAGGGTCATTATATGCATGGGTTTGTGTCTAGCATGGGGACCATCCAGAGTGGCTTTCAGTGGTTAAAAGTCTTTGTGATTTTTTTTTTGTTTTGTTATTATCATTATCCAATAATCATCTCTTTCACCTCCCATCCTCAAACCTAGAAGATAACAAGTTGCAGAAGCAGTAGGGTGGAGGTGTTGGGTAACATGGTTTGTTGAACATTTGCGCGGGAACATTTGTTTATTTCTACGTTTTGATTGGTTATTTGATAAAATAAAATATTTTTGACACCTCTTATTTTCAAAGAACTTTTCATGTAATTTTTTAATATGTAAATTTTATTTTTTATTTCTATACCAATATGTAAATAAAATGAATTGAAAAAACTTGATATTTTACTTCGGGAATACAAATGTGACAAATATTTAGGGACAGGGGAGTATGTATTTACCATATACTACCTCTGCTTAGAATACTTTATGTAGTTTTGACTTTTTGTAGTCAATATTAATTAACTTTAACCAAGGATTAAATAAAATTTATATTAAATTCAGATATAAAATTAATTTTATTATATTTATCTTCTAAAATTTTTTTAAAATATTATTTTATCTGATTAATATATTATGTAAAATTATGGGTGACTCTAGTTGACCGTAAATAGTTAAAATTAGACAAGTATTCTAGGATGGATGAAGTATATATTAAATTACAAAATACAAAAGCTAAAATGTGACCTTGAAGGAGTATACTATTATTAATATTATTATAATTGTTATTATTATTATTATTATTAATGTATTCTCCAACTCTTGCAAATTGCACTCTACTAATTGTTTGGGATAGAGGTTAACGTTAGTATTTTGAAAGAATTATCCACGGGTAACGTTTAGCGTTAATATATATATGTGTGTGTGTGTGTAAATTATAAACGGTTGGTAGGCTAAGGAAAATCTCGCACGTTCTTGATTTGAAGCATCTTAATAAAGATTTGGAAGAACCTTCATCAAGTTAATTAATTTTAGTTGGTAGGGGACAGATAAGAACAGTTAATACATACTAGTATTAAATTAATGTGATGTTTTTTTTCTGAATATATTTTGTTTTGTAATTTTATTTCTGTTGGAAAGACAACAAGATATGCATTTTAGATTATTTAAGATTATGAGATTAGACACACACATTCTTATAATATTAAACTTTCTAAATTTACTCGTAATTACTTTTCAAACCAATAAATAATAAAGTAAATCAAAGATGAAGATGAATGTGTTCTTAATTGGTCGTTACATGTAACAAAAACATTAAAACCTCTAATGAATTATGAGTTTGAGTATAGCCTATTTAGCATAGAGATGTTTATTCCTTGCACATTTTCAAACAATCACTTTTATTTGTAATGGTTTCATTTCACATCTCGTGAAAAACCTTTTTCGTCACGCTTAGAGTTACCCTCCAAAGCTAGATTTTTGCTAATTTTTCGATATCAATGGATTCAGAACTCTAGTAAGTTTCACCTCAGCTTCATCCTAGTCGTGGATTTCAAAACATTTTTTTATTGTAGGAGAAAACATTTACAAGAGTAGGGCGAGAAGGGCAAAAAATCGGATCCATTCTGCAAAAATGTTTTGAACGAAAAAGGGATACACATTGAAGTTCAAGTTCGTTTTTATAGATGGAATTTAAAAAACACAGAATACATTGTGTGATTGAAATTTATACAACTAGAAGATGGTATGAATTGGCATTTGATAGATCAACAACCCCAACCCCATCCTATCCCCACCTACTACCCACCCACCCCAATATAAGGAGCTTGCTATAATTGAAATTATTTGACTTTTTACATTACATGATTAGATGAATTTTATCATATATGCTCCTTTATCATTAAAATATTTTACGTTTTTCGTTCATGAAATTTAAAAAAAGTGTTGAAAAGTTAAAAAAAAAAACATTTCGAGTGGGTATTCCTTTTACCTAAAAAAGAAA